TTTGGCAAAACAGTGCGCGCGAGGTTGGCGAAGTCCCGTTAGCAGTAACGGACGAACAACGGTTGTTGCTGTACGCGATGTAGTCGGGCTCCGTAAGCAATGCCGAGAAAATTCCTTACAATATCTTATGTAAAACGTGTAATCACAATAAAGCATATTACATAGAGAATCCCTTACAATCCATCGCCATGTTCAGTTCACTATTTCCATAAAATTACACGCCATCAATATATATATACATATATATATATATATGTATATATATAATTTTCATAACTGTCACCCGCCCGCCCGCCCCCTCCATCCCGCTTCCCCTTACCAAATACCACACTCACACTCATTTCACACATGGGAGGCGTATATAAGTGTCAGAATGTTATGTTTGTCTAGCCTGCAGTGGGGTACTCAATAGTGAGTACAACCCGACTTAAGGTTTCCTATATGTACTCAACTGCTTGCTAGTGAACTCTCTTCTTCATTCTAAACTTCTACTGCTAAACTTGACATGCTATCAGAGCAGGTCGATCCCCTTGGGTCGATCCTGTGGGTGGGCTCACCACCTCATTGCTACCGCTGCTACGACTACTCTTCGTATTGCACGCCCCGTGGCGTGCAATGGATTTTTCATCCCGCCGCGCGCTCGGAGCGTGTGGCGGTTTTCTGCCCACTGTGCGCCCCGAGGCGCGCGGCGGTTTTCTGCCCGCCGTGCGCCCCGAGGCGCGTGGCGCGTTTCTGCCCCGTCACTCCGCGCGTCGCCCCCGGGAGGCGCTGCGACGGGCGACGGGGACCCGCGCGTCGCCCTTCGTCGCCCGTCGTGGCCTGCGCGCGGCCCGTACAGCCTGCGCGCGGCCCGTACGGGCTGCGCCAGGCCCACGCGCGGCCCGTACGGGCTGCGTCGGGCCACGGCGCGCCTCAAGCCGCCCGCGCGCGGTTCGTACGGGCTGCGCCAGGCCCGTGGGCGCCTTGTTCCCCCTTCCCCTGCACTGCCCGCTCTCCCCCGTGCTTCTGACGGCGCCCCACCCCTGCTGCTGCCCGTTCTCCTGGATTAGGGTTTGGGGTGGGAGGTATGGGGGTGCACCTTCTGTGTGCCATCCCCTGCTCCTCCTCCTCCTCCGTCTCCCAGTGCTGCAGCTGCCGCTGAGGGGGGGTGGACCTGTTGGAGCCGTCGGAGTGGTACTAAGGGGGGTGCAAGGGGAGTGGAGCTAGCGGTGAAGCAGGGGGTGTGTGTCAGGGGGGGTGGGACTGTTTGGAGAGGTTGAACGAAGGTTGCCGTCGTGTCGCCAGCAGCACATGTAGTCCGGGGAGTTGCTCTGATAGCCCAGTCGCAGCCAGCTTTGCCAGTCGCCCGTGGGTCCGTTGCTCGTCTGCCGCTAGTTTTAGCCGCGGAGCCAGTTACTCCAGTAGTTCGGAGCATTCTTCCGGTAGCCGCTGTGCCAGTGTGACTCCTGTTGCCCGTGTGTCTGCAGCTTCAGCCGTCGCCTCCTATCTCCTCTCCTCTCACAGTCCCTCCTCCTCCTCACTTGCCCGCTGTGACTACCACTAGCTTTGCTCATAATTGTGAACTTTAAACTGTTGCTTCTTGTACTTGTGCTCAGAATGTGTGGTGACATTGTGATCCACCCTGAGCTTGTTCTGCTTTGCTTGCTGTGCTGATTACACCCAACTTTGGCTATGGGGGTGTGTTAGAATGTTATGTTTGTCTAGCCTGCAGTAGGGTACTCAATAGTGAGTACAGCCCGACTTAGGGTTTCCTATATGTACTCAACTGCTTGCTAGTGAACTCTCTTCTTCATTCTAAACTTCTACTGCTAAACTTGACACTAAGGGCTTGACTGCCATAGTACCTTCCCATTGCTCCTCTTTCCCTTAACACTCTCCTCCACGTGCTTTCCAATTGTCCTCTTCTCTTCCCTTGGAGACAAAGACCCCTGCTCGGGACTCTTACTAATCTTATCCACTTTCTTCCTGGGCGTCTTAGTCTACAGATAAGAACGATCTACCAGGCAAATGTACCCCCTGCACGTGTTCAAAGGTTTGTACGTCTCCCCATCCTTGCACATGCCCGCGGTGCAATTTTTTTCCTTCTGGACGCAGGTCACCATGCTTCGTCTCCGCTGCCTCTGCTGCTGCTGCTGCTGCGGCTGCTTCTGCAGCTCCGCCTGCCGCTCCCTTTCCCGGTATGCCAACATAGCCTTGTATGACAATTCCGCTTGAAGCTTGTTCAGCTCCAGCTGCTTTTTCCTCTGCTCTTCTTCATTTTCCAGCCGCTGCTGCTTCAACTCCGGTCGCTCCTTCTCAAGTCGTTCCAGTTCCTGTTGCTGCTTCACCTTCTCCTGCTTCTGCAGCTCCTTCTGACGCTCATTCTCCCGGTATGCAAGCATACTCTTGTATGACGCCTCCTGTTGAAGCCGGCTAATCTCCTGCTGCTTCTTCCTCTGCTCTTCCCCCTGCGACAGCAGTTTGCGCTGCGATGAGGCATCTAGGCCAAGCAAGAAACTGCGCGAATTTTGAGGTGTGTTGGAAGTCTTCTTCCTCTCCTCTTCCTCCTGCGACTGTAGTTTGCGCTGCGATGAGGCATCTTGGGCGAGCAAGAGACTGCGCGAGTTGCCTGAGTATTCGGATTCAAACATGGAGCTTTTAACGAATCCGATTGTAACGGGGAGGGTGGGGAGACAACAAGGGATGGGAATAAATGAGTGCCAAACAGGTGGTTTTAGGTGATTTGTGTTGAGATTCTGAAAGCCGTTGCATGCTTTGTGCACAAGAAACGACGGGAGAACCACTAGTCTAAGAGGCTTTCCACGCATTTGAGTAAACATATTACCCGACAAAGGTTAGTGGGTGATAGGCAGGTAAACTTAGTGGGGGCGCAAGGGAAACGACACCAGATTTGGGCATTATGATACATCGGCAAACAAAATTAATCATCACATCTACACTACAAAAACTCACTCGCCGATCCCCTCTCGCCCTTCCCTCATCGGCTCCCCTCACACGAAAATATGTCACCTCGGCAACGAGAACGCATCTTACGACGATTGCTCTGATCGTGATTTGCTGGAATTTCTTCTCCTTGAGCTCCTTCGCTGCCCCGCAGCCCGTACGCCAAGGCGAGCACGAGAAGGAACATGATGACGAGCCTACTTTTGAGGCGCCTCAATAGTCTGCCCCAGAGCCAGCCCGTACGCTAAGGCCAGAAAAAGAAGGAACCTCAGAATTATTATGACAGATTTACTTTTGAGGCGCCTCAATAGTCTGCCCCGCAGCCCGTACACTAAGGCCAGAAAAAGAAGGAACCTCAGAAACATTATGACAGATTCACTTTTGAGGCGCCTCAAAAGTCTGCCCCGCAGCCTGTAAGCCAAGGCCAGTACGAGAAGAAACCTCAGCAACATGGGAAACGCATCTTACGTAGATGGCTCTGATCGTGATTTGCTGGAAGTTCCTCTCCTTGAGCTCCTTCGCTGCCCCGCAGCCCGTACGCCAAGGCGAGCACGAGAAGGAACCTCTGCAACATGATGACGAATTTCTCTCCTTGGGGTCCGTAGGAGAAATTCGTATGGAAGAAAGAGGCTTGGGGTCACTATTACGGCTGCTTATTTCAGTCGGGAGATTTTAGAAGCTACAATTACGGAACATGGACTAAGAGGAGAAACCCACCAAGGATGGGTCAAACCACTCGTTGGAAGGGGAGGGAGGAAGGTGAGGAGGAATCCAATTCTATACAATTTCTCCCATTCCAATAATGTAATGCGCGAGCGCCAAATCAGTCGCAGCACCCGCGATGCGGCGAAAATGTTGAGCGTTTAGATGGGGTTCGCTATGGTTCGTTATTTGCTACGAGATGCAAACTGCTGAATGCACGGGACGCGCTGCAACCGCCAAGCTTGAGTACAACAGTGCAATCAATAATGCACGCGAGAGGTTTGGACAGGCTTGACGAGCTGCTGGTTCCGCTTATAGGGAAATAAATACACGTATGAAAACGATCAACTACTAATCTTGTGGGTATGGTAGTTGTTTCATTTTCTTCCCCCAATAATTAGAACCTAACTAAACAGACAGATATGGCACCTGGGTGTCGGTCAGATTGAAACGAGTAATGGCTAAAGGCAATTAAACACCATCATGGTGCGTGCAGTTCCTCACTCGGTTAACCCACATGAACGAAGTAATAATTTGCCACGTGATGTCCTGCTACAGCTATTACGGGAGGAGCAGCAGCAGCGAAAGCAGAATCGACAAGTGGAAGCGCATACAGGGAAAACCCCCAGCGACATAAGGCTGCGAGGGCGAGTGGCCTTGGTGATGCTGCTGGCATAGAGGGAGCAGGTTCGATTTCACCGCGAGCCACAGCTACTGCAGGAGGAGTAGCAGCCGGAGAAGGCACGGTAAAAGGCAGTGCGCCTAAGAGCAGTAAAACGCGCAGAGGCAGCAGTTCATTCAAAGGCAGTGCTTCTGGCGCTGCTGGTGCAGAGGTAGCAGGAAGGTCACTTTCACCCCAAGCAACAGGTGCTGCAGGAGGTGCAGCAGCAGCAGCAGGAGGAGGAGGAGGAGGAGGAGGAGGAGGAGGAGGAGGAGGAGGAGGAGGAGGAGGAGGAGGAGGAGGAGGAGGAGGAGCAACAGCAGTAGGAGGAGGAGGAGCAGCCGCCAGAGAAGGCACGGTAGAATGCAGTGCGCCTAAGAGCAGTAAAACGCGCAGAGGCAGCAGTTTATTCAAAGGCAGTTCGCCAAGAGGCAATACGCTCAAAGGCTACTCCCCTCTGGCCCTTGTCACGAGCAGCCCTTGTCCCACGCCTTCGTTTCAATCACCACCCCTTCCATTATCACCCCTGCCACTGTCACTCCCGGCTGCTCGTTTAGATTTCACTCACAAGCCCCCATTATTGTCACACCGTATTTTGTCACTGCCTACAAGTTTTAACGAAGGGGACGGGGTGCCACCTTTGCTGTCAAATCCGTCATTGTCACACCCGGCTGTTCCTTCTAACTCTCCACACATGTCACCGTTATTGTCACACCCCCAAGGCGAGGGGGAGGTAGAGGATAAGAGAGAGGACGTGGGAGAGGAGGAGAGGGAGGAGGGAGGAGGAACAGTGGGAGCGAAGGGAATGGGGCTTAGCAGAGAGGATGTGAGAGAGAAAGGAGAGGAGGGGAGAGATTACGGGAGAGAGGAGGGCAGAGAGGAGGGGAGAGAAGAGGGGAGAGAAGAGGGAAGAGAGGAGAGGAGAGTGGAAAAGGGAGAGGAGGGGAGAGAGAAGAATGAAGAGGAGATAAGTCAGGAAGGTGGTGCAATGTTAGAGGAGGGGGGAGATATGGGGGGACGTGAGGGAGGCGGAAGGCATATACATGTGGAAGGTGGGAAAGATGAGGAAGTTGGGAAAGATGTGGAAGTTGGGAAAGATGAGGAAGTTGGGAAAGATGAGGAGGTTGGGAAAGATGTGGAAGTTGGGAAAGATGTGGAAGTTGGGAAAGATGTGGAAGTTGGGAAAGATGTGGAAGTTGGGAAAGATGTGAGGATGTGGGTGGACGGTGCAGCAATCACAAAGGAAGGGTGTGATATGAGGGGGAGAGGGGTAGGAGGAAGGCGTATACATATGGAAGGTGGGAATGGTGTGGAAGGTGGAAAAGATGAAGACAATGGGAAAGATAGGATGGATGTGTGTGTGAGAGGGGGTGGTGGTGGGTACATAGAAGTGCACCATCCACTGCCAGTGCTGGCTCTGCACGTGTGGGCGGATAACAACCCCTCTAACGGCCCTTCCTGGGGCAGAGGTCGCTCATCAGAGGTGCATGTGGATGCGCAATTGGGTGGTGCGCTGCAGTCGGATTCAGCATTTCGAAGCCCACATGTAGATGTAGGAAGAGGAGGAGGAGGAAGAGGAGGAGGAGGAAGAGGAGGAGGAGGAAGAGGAGGAGGAGGAAGAGGAGGAGGAGGAAGAGGAGGAGGAGGAGGAGGAGGAAGAGGAGGAGGAGAAAGAGGAGGAGGAAGAGGAGGAGGAGGAGGAAGAGGAGGAGGAGGAAGAGGAGGAGGAGGAAGAGGAGGAGGAGGAGGAGGAGGAGGAGGAGGAGGAGGAGGAGGAGGAGGAAAAGGAGGAGGAGGAGGAGGAGGAGGAGGAGGAGGAGGAGGAGGAGGAGGAGGAGGAGGAGGAGGAGGAGGAGGAGGAGAAGGAGGAACGCGCATCGCAGTGTGTTTGGGGAAGGAGGAGAAGGAGGAGCGGATGGTAGTGGTGTATGAAGCAACGAGCACTGGAGGAGAGTGTAGAAGGCTGTGATGTGGGAAGGAGTGGTTTGGCTGGGAGCGGAATGACTTCGAAGTCGACTCAAAATTCATCCCGTATGGTAGTGGTGTATGAAGCATTGAACACTGGGAGGAGTGGTGTAGAAGGCTGTGATGTGGGAATGAGTGGTTTGGCCGGGAGCGGAATGACTTCGGAATCAACTCAAAATTCATCCCGGATGGTAGTGGTGTATGAACCATTGAACACTGGGAGGACTGGTGTAGAAGGCTGTGATGTGGGAAGGAGTGGTTTGGCAGGGAGCGGTGTGGCAGGGAAAAGGCCACACGAAGCAGCAGGAAATGCGGCTGGAAATGCAGGAGGAAATGCGGGAGGAAATGCAGGAAGACCAGGGCTAGGAACGTTTCAAGAAGCTGTGAGGCATGATGGGGCTCCGTGGTTCAGGCTGGTGGGCAGCTTTGGTGTGATAGTCGACCATGCAGAGGCACGGACGGAGGTGAGTGGAAGGAAAGGGATGGCCCCTAACGCAGTGAGCACACAAGTCACTGTTGAGAATTTCCACCCAGTGTGGCTCCGTGGTTCAGGCTGGTGGGCTGGTGGGCAGCTTTGGAGTGAAGGTCGACCATGAAGAGGCACAGACGGAGGTGAGTCGGAAGAGATGTCTTCTTATTCTGTGAGCTTTCAAGTCATTATTGAGGCTCCGTGGTTCAGGCTGATGGGGAGATGTGGAGTGAAGGTCGACCTTGAAGGGGCACGGACGGAGGTGAGTGGGAAGAGATGACTCTCGAGTCAACTCCTCGGCGACGCAACCCTTGCACCCTTCAACCCCCATTCGCCCCACCCACCCCCGAACCCCCCCTCTCCCTTTTTCCCTTCACACCACCCTCTGGCAGGTGTTCCCCGAGCGTCAAGCCATGGCCTTCTCACCCTGTGGCTCCTGCCTCTGCTCTCCCTTCTCCTCCTTAGCTCAGTAACCCAGCCCTGCAGCACCTGCCTCTACCCCCGTCCTTCTTCATATCACCCTTTCAGGTGTTTCCCGAGCGCCAAGCCATGGCCTTCTCTCCCTGCAGCACCTGCCTCTACTTCGCTAACTGCTTCACTCTCTACCCGCCGTATGAGACTAAAACGAATCATGCAGAAGCAGCTGCGTTCAGTGGCAAGAGCAACGGCAGCAGAAGCAGCAGCAGGAGAGACAGCATTCGCAGCAACAGCAGCAGCGGCAGTGGCAAGAGTGGCGGTGGCAGGAGCAAAAGTGCTCCTGGTCGTGTGACAGTAGTTGAGTTGGACTTGGAAACCTCACAAAGCAAAAGCGCTTCAAGAAGAGGTTTTTCCCATGTTCTTGAACTCCTTGGAGAAGGCAAAAGTGTTCTTGAACTCCCTGAAGCCTCTCCCTGTTTTCACACTAGTGCCTCTTCCTCTGCCCTCCGTTCTTCCCCTGCTTTCTCTGCCTGCCTTCCACTGTTCCCCTCCCTCTCAAGCCTCTCACCCACGGTTCCCAACTGCCCACAGATGTGGGCTGTGGTGATGGTGAGGAGGGGGAGGAATGAGGGTGGGAAGGGTGTGGAAGAGGAGACGAGTGGGGGGAAGGAGATGGGGAGGGGTGTGGAAGGGAAGGGCATGGAGGGAGGAGGTATGGAGGGAGGAGGAGAGTGGGTGGTGGTGGCAGCAGGGGATGGTGGTGCTGCGTGCTGCTGGGTGATGGACAGGCATGGGAGGTGAGATGGTCACATGCAGGGAGAAGGTGGGTTCATGTGAGGGTACGTCAGGGTGGTGAGGGTACGTCAGGGTTGGTGAGGGTGGGTGAGGTTATGGGATGGTGATGCTGCATGCTGCTGGGTGATGGACATGCATAGGAGGTGAGAGGGAAGTGAGGGGAGGTGAGAGGAGGTGAGGGTAGGTGAGAGGGGAGGTGAGTGAGAGGAGATGATTGTAGGTGGGGGTAGCCGGCTGGGTGGTGGTAAGTATGGTAGGGGAGCATAGGGATGGGTGGTGCTGCGTGCTGTTGGATGATGGGCCGGCACAGGAGGTGAGAGGAGAGATGAGAGGGGCACTTGCAGGGAGGGTGAGGTAAGGTGGGGTGGGGGTAGGGGAGGGGCGTGTTGTTGGGTGATGGACGTGCAGGGGAGGTGGGAGGGGAGATGGAGCTAGATGAGGTTAGATGAGGTTAGATGAGGTAAGATGAGGCTAGATGAGGTTAGATGAGGTTAGATGAGGTTAGATGATGTGAGGATCTAGGATCGGGCTCAGAAAAGAGAAATGTAATTGAATGATCACCTGGGTACAACATGAGGCTATATATAGGCTCGACACAAGGCCCTGTAACCAGGTGTTACGCGAAGGTTCCGCGGGTCGCGAAGCGTCCCGAACAGATCCTTACCGAATTCGGTAGAAGGCAATTCGGTGGCAACCGAAAAGCCAGAATCGGTGCACGCAACCTAGCTCGGTGCTATAACTATAAAATATAGGAAAGCACCTAGCCTAGGAAATCAAGCAATTCATGCGTGCATATAATTATCCTATGCTAGAAATAGCATGATAAAGTAAAGGCAAGTAAGCATAGCTGGCATAAGCCGTCGTACTCTCACACATCCCCCCCTCAAAGCTGGGTGGCATGAGAAACACCCTGCTTGACAAGATAGTCATTGAGAGCACGGCGTGCTTTGCCCATATCAGCTTCTGCAACCCAACTGTCCTCAGTGGGGTCGTATCCCTTCCAGCATATCAGGAACTCGAGCGTCTTGCCGCCGCAGCGCCGATGAGTGAGAACGCGCTCCACTTCGTACTCTGGTTCATCCTGTACGAGAACCGGTGGTGGTGGCGGTAGCTGCCGTCCCTGGAACTGCTGGTTGGAGTCCTTGTAGGGCTTCAGTAGCTGAACATGGAAAGCGTTGTGAAGCTTCCATGTATCTGGTAAGCGCAAGCGGAATGTAACTGGTGTCACCTGTGCCTCAACGAGAAAAGGACCACAGAAGCGAGGCTGGAGTTTGGATGGGAGGTGAGATAGGTTCAAGTTGCGCGTGTCAAGAAGCACCTGATCTTCAACTGCTACTGAGTGATCACGTCGCTGACGATCGGCATACTGCTTCTGGGAGGTCTGCATCGTGGTGAGTCGTCGCTGAGTCTTCTCCCATAGCTGCTGCATGGTGGTGACGAAGTCATGTGCGGCTTGGACGTGTGCCGGTGTGGTTGGCTGCTGTGGTGTTAGTGGTTTCCGTCCGTAACACAGGAAGAAAGGAGTTTTCCCTGTGACCGCATGTAATGCGTTGTTGTAAGCGAACTCTAGGGTCGGAAATTGTGTGTCCCAGTGGCTGACGTCATCCTTGCAAGCTGTGCGCAGTAACTGTTCAACCACTTGATTGAGTCGCTCTGTCTGTCCGTCAGTCTGGGGATGGTATACTGAAGATATTGCAAGCTTTGTCCCCAACAGTCCCATGAGCTCCTTCCAGAATTTACTGGTGAATTTTGGGTCTCTGTCTGAGATGAGTGTAGCGGGGATGCCGTGGATGGTGATGATGCGATCGAAGAAGAGGCGAGCAGTTGCTTCAGCTGTAGCTAGGGCGTTGGTCGGTATGAAGTGACCCATTTTGGAGAACTTATCGATTACTATGAGGATGGAATCGTGCCCCCGTGAGGTCGAAGGAAGTCCTGTGATGAAGTCGAGGCTAACGACCTGCCATGGCTGCTCCGGTACGGGTAGAGGCTGAAGTAACCCTGCTTTTTTCTGCTTGCTGCTCTTCATCCGCTGGCACGTGTCGCATGAGGTGACGAACTGCTGCACGTCTGCTGTCATCCTTGCTAACGTTTTGTTGCTCCCGAAATGTCCCGCGTAAGGTACGTTGTGAAATTCCTCCAATAGGATCTGCCGTAGCGGGGCGTAATTCGGTACCCAAATCTTTCCTGAACCCTTCCTTACAGCTAAGTCTTTCTCCCACTGTAACAACTTCTTGGTCTGTGCTGTAGCGATTTCTGCGTCCATGGAATACCCATGTTGGAATAGACCCTTGAGCAGAGGGTTCATCCCGTCGATCTGGATGCCTGCTACATGTCCGGGGCGGCTCAACGCGTCTGCCTTGTTGTGTAGCCCGGGCTTGTAGACGATGTCGTAGTGGAAGTGAGTTTCCAGGAAGTCCACCCACCGCACCTATCGTCGTGAGAGCGTTGGCTGCGACTTCAGGTATTTGAGACTGAAGTGGTCAGTATAGACTGTAGGTGTGAGAGTACGACGGCTTATGCCAGCTATGCTTGCTTGCCTTTACTTTGTCATGCTATTTCTAGCATAGGATAATTATATGCATGCATGAATTGCTTGATTTCCTAGGCTAGGTGCTTTCCTATATTTTATTATAGTTATAGCACCGAGCAGGTTGCGTGCACCGAATTCTGGCTTTTCGGTTGCCACCGAATTGCCTTCTACCGAATTCGGAAGGGATCTGTTCGGGACGCTTCGCGACCCGCGGAACCTTCGCGTAACACCTGGTTACGGTAGGCTCGACACAAGGCCCCGTAACACTTGCGGCTCTTGGGTTTGCTCTTTCTACTGCCGACCCGTCGCTGATTCTGCACACCGACACCTCTTTGCCGCCGTTCTACATCCTCGTGTACGTCGACGACTTGGTCTTTGCCACAGCTGACACTGCTGGACTCGCCCACGTGAAGTCCGAGCTGCAGAAGAGACACACGTGCACAGACCTGGGTGAACTGCACAGCTACCTTGACTTGCAGATCACCCGGGACAGAGCACAGCGCACCATTACCCTGACTGAGTCACACATGGTGCAGCAGGTCGTTCAGCGCTTCGACTTCATGTACTCCTCGCCTCAGGCCACTCCTCTGTCTACTCGCCACTCGCTCTCAGCTCTGCCTTCGGATGAGTCCGTAGAGCCGAGTGGCCCGTTCCCAGAGCTTGTTGGCTGCCTCATGTACCTGATGACCTGCACACGACCTGACCTTGCATACCCTCTTAGCATCTTGGCACGCTATGTTACTCCTGGGAGACACCGACCAGAGCACATGGCTGCAGTGAAGAGGGTGTTGCGCTACTTGTGCAGTACGTCGGGCTTCGGGCTAGTGCTTGGAGGGCGACGTCGAGTGGTCCTCACAGGTCACGTAGGCGCTTCTTGGTCTGACGACCAGGCTGCGCAGCGGTCGTCACAGGGTTACACCTTCAGGCTTGGCTCTGGCTCTGTTTCGTGGCGGTCTACCCGCTCATCTTCTGTTCTCGGCTCCAACTTTGAGGCTGAGATCTACGCGGGGGCCATGGCTGCACAGGAGCTACGCTGGCTCACCTACCTGCTGATTGACCTAGGAGAGCCGCCTCGTTCTCCTCCAGTTCTGTACGTAGACAACAAGGCCATGCTGGCCTTGTGTCGGGAGCACAGACTGGAGCACAGAACGAAGCAGATTGCTCTTTGCTACTTCCTTGCTCGTGAGCTACAGCAGCGTGGTCAGCTGCGCCTTGCTTACGTGGCCTCTGAGGCCAACACTGCTGATATCTTTACCAAGGCACTTCCGCCTTGTGATCATCAGCGCTTCTGTACGATGCTAGGTCTTGTGCCTACTTGGCCTTACTTGCTCACTTCTTGACCTTGCTTGTACTGTGATCTTTCTATACCTGCCCTTGCTTGTTTACCTTTATATATGATCTTGCATGTGAACTGACCTTGTGGCCTTGCTCTTGTGCTCGGACTGTGTGGTGACGTTGTGATCCGCCCTGAGCTTGCTTTGCTTTGCTTGACTAGTCTTGTGACCTCTTGTTCTCCCCCACTTTGCCTATGGGGGTGTGTCAAACTCATATGCTATAGTCTGTATAGGCTGTAGTGGGGTAGACAATATGGGGTACAACATTTCTAGGCTTTCCTACTTGTACCCACCTGTTTGCTAAATCATCACATTCCTCAATTCTCACACAAAGTCACGGCGGGACTTGTTCAAGAAAGACAAAACTGTGCTTAAACGCTTTCACAATTGATAAATTAATTTTTGTCCGGATCATTTCGACGGGAGTTTCATGTAGTTACCATTCGCGTGATAGGCTGCTAGTGTATAGCTACCATACACGTTAAGCGAGTTACCAAACGTGTTAAGCGAGTTACCAAACATGTTAAGCAGGTTACCAAACGCGTTGAAATCGTTACCGTACGCATTATAGTGCCCCATGTAAGTTACCATTGAAATATTTTCCCAAAATATAACGTCGAGAGAGAACACACTCTAATCCCGATCAGGGCTAATTTTTTGTTTTGGCCAACCCTTACGATCAGTGTTGCACATCATCAAATTCCTGAGTATCGGAGTATCCCTCTGTGAAAATCCTGATCTGTCAGGGTTTTAGCAGATCTTGAATATTCTACCCTGGGTCATCAGTGTAACAATTTTTCAAGGCCTGTTGAAGTTTATATTAACACAGCACAGAATAACAATCTCAATCATCATCGTCAGATATGCCACACGGGTGTTGTTCGTGCTCACTTTCCTCTTCTGGCTCCGGCACTTTCTCTTTGCCGTTCTCTCCCCTGGGGTCGGCAGCTGTCAGAACTCTATATAGCTTATACATTTTGTGTAGGCTATAGTGGGGTATCCCATAGGGGGTACAACCCAATTAGGGTTTCCTATTTGTTTCACTTCCATTCCTTAGTCATTCATTCTCGTTCTAACTTTCTCATGGTATCGAGCAGGTTCCCCCATCGGAACTGTGCTTAGGGCCCACCACATCGAACTTT